AAAAAAAAAAAAAAAAAAAAAAATTAAGCTTATAAATACTACTTCCACAAAATTTTAAAAATAGTTTAAAAAGTTGTATTTATTTTAGAAATTTCATTAAAATACAAATCTTTTTTGTTAAAAAAAGGGTGAATTATAGTAAGAAAAATTGGAAGGAAACAAGCATAAATTTCAAAAACACAAAAACTAAAAACAAAATCGTTATTGTCAAATGGGGCTTAATTTTTTTAAAAAAACTAAGCATAAATTTTGAAAATATGGCTAGAAAGTCGGTGACAAAAACAAAACAATGAAACAATGGAAGTGGTGTTTACAAGCTTAATTTTCAAAGACCTAAACCTAAAAACCGATACGTGCTAAACCTAAAAACCAATACATGTCTATGTAGCTGGATTCCTAAAACTTCAATAGAACTTGTCTAGGAGAATGAATTCAAGATCATTGCATTGCAACAAGATGTCATTCAAGTCATGCATACACATCTAATCATAAAATTCAGCATGCCAACATGCCCTTTCCAAGGGTAATAACTCCTACAATCATGAAAGTTTGTATATCAATCACTTGCAACATTAACTTGTTTCATTTGAGTAAAATGCCAGCAAATAAGTATCTGCTGAATCACTTTAATGAATTTCATCACTACTAAGATGAAATGTAACTTTAAACCTCAGCCACATTTAGGACAAAAGAAATTTAGAGGCGATGATTAAGGTTTATATTCTTGTAGGGAGCTAAGAGTAAAAAGAAACCCTAATAGTCAACAAACAGAGAAGTACAGAGAACAACTTACTGCAAAGTAAAGCCGTCATAAAGGCATTGAAATACCTGCAGGAAAGACAAAACAATGTCAAAGACGGTTCTTCTAACAAATGAATCATCGTGCAGGAAAGTACTTAAAATGATGATCTATAAACTTGCATCTATAACTTTCTCCCATAAATGAAATTAGCAAAAGTTAATGCCAGAAGACACTTGTAACAACTTATTATGAGACCAAAGAACAAAGATAATAACCCTACACCTGTGAAGGGGCCTTTGAGGTATCGGTTTGGCTTCCCAAGCCTGACCAATGTTTAGGATGACAAGTTTCCAAAACTGAATTTATTGGAGAAACGATCGAGTTTGAACAATAACCCCACAAAGTTTTTCTTAGTCTATGCTTTCTAAAGCTGCATCCCAACGACTTCCCAAACCTTTAACTTAAACCCCTAGACATACTAAACCAATGCCTGAAACACCCCCGAAATGATTTTCTTTACCCCCTACTTTCACACTCTTCTTGTTCTCAAGAACGAAAGTTTCGATTTGTGTTTCTTTTGGGGAATTAAGAGATATATCTTCAGAATAAACTCTGTATAAAGGAGGAGATAAGAGTCCTAGACATCTAACCAAAGTTTAAGAGCCAAGAAAGATGCCAAAAATTGATTATCTTGATTATCGTGAAAATTCCTACTTTTTTCACTTTTCAAGCCTTAAAAAGATTAGCAATATAGCATCAGTCTAGATAGATTTAGCCTGGTTTCTGGATTTTGAAAGAAGTAGTACAACTCAGCTTTTGGAAGAGCTACCCAAATCCATAAAAACAAATAACAATCCCCAAAACTTCCCAGTGAACCCGCAGAGAATGAACAACGAGTCACTGTCATCCTAGCCACCCAAAACAAGCACACATTATGAGGGTTCAGGTGTAGGAGGGGTAATAAACAATGATGCCACAAACTTCTTGCAATTGGAAGTTAGTAATGTTTACTTTTTTACAAAGAACAAAACATATCAAATAGATTACTTTCTTCGGGTATTTTTGTTGTCACCATGAGATGTGACAACATCTGAGGAAGAAAAGGAGGTGCTTGTACACAGGAGAATTTTACATGGATTAAGAGTACCTCCCAATTAACCAAGAATTATACGTCCCCGCGCACACAAATATAAGGAACTCCCCTATTTACTTGAACACCAGTTGAATACTAATTACACAAACTCTAGGAACCAAAAAATGGTTTAAAAGTCGTTTGCAAAGTGAAGAAAACGTACTCAAATGTTCAACATTTTATTTTTTTCAATTCTTTCCAGCCAAATAACCCAAATATGTGCACCCACTTACTAAGTCACGAGTCATGACAACCATTAATTTGAAGAGATATAGTTCTATGGATTGTAGGATCAAGTGTTACTCCATTGAAAATCACTGAGATGTGCATAAGTTAGTATGGGTATACACTCACATCTTAGACAGCGGTAATAATAGATAGAATAAAAATGATATGATAACACTACTATTGAGATGTGCAACACAATTTTTCTTTTCTTTTCTAAGGTTACATAAATTGAAGATCGGAAAAATTCTCTATCATCAACTAGTTGAACGCAACTCGAGTATATTTTGAAGCTTGGTGATAAATAAGAAGAGTCAACACATAAACATAAACTGCATCAGTCAAGTTGTAAAAAAAGTAGATTAATGCTAAAATTCTGCAGTCGACTAAGGCTACTTCTTATAAATGATCAATTATATTAAACTTTCATTCAAATACTGAAATTTATTGCATCATTCCGCTTGTTTCCTTCATACACCAGTCAAAGTGATGTTTTCTATCTATCATTTTCACCTATATGACTCTAATCGCAATTCAAAGGTGACGGAAATTCTAGTAGTACAGGCAATCAGCAACGTCGCTAAATATCCACGATTAATTCAATCGTACTGGAATTCAGCAAGACATGTGCATTGAACTTGATTCGAACTATGAACAGATACTAAAAAATATCCGACATTATTTAAGAGAGAAAAAAATCTATGAAGTGCGAACAAACAAACGGATATTCGGAACACTTCCTTAGCAACATTCCTCGAGCAAAAACAATTAAGGAGAATCATTAGCATTCACAAGAATCAAGTGCAAGAACATACCCTGAGGAACCAGCCCCCATCCTTGAGATTCAATGCTCAGACTCGAAATCAATCTAGCTGCAGCTATAGCGCTGTGCAATGGCATCAGTGACCCCTGACTACTCAACTCCAATGGTAACCTATTGCAAAAATCTATTCCATAGTAAGGAATTGAACCGAATCCATTTCTGTAATGATTATTTGATGAAATGACAAATGAGATTGGAAATGGAGAAAAGAGACAAGTCTCACCGCGAAGTGCAAGAAACACGCGATGTAGAAGCTGCAGAGGGCTGAGATTGACAAGCCGATTTGAATGGAGAGAGCTCAGAAGATGGAGACCTTTTGTTGAGCTTTGGAGCGAGAGATTGCAGGCGAGATGATAGCCGAGAGACTGCCCTTAAGGACGCCATTGTAGACTTCTTTCCACTAAGCTTGAACTGTAACGAAATGGACATCAGAGAATTACAAGGGTTTTAGCAAATATTCAAGTCCAAACGTCGTCGTTTCCGTGCGATAAAGAAAATTTGCTTTACATCACAATTGAATTTAAGTTTTTATTTTATGGCTAAATTTTATATATATATATATTTATTTATTTATTTATTTATTTCAAAAATATATTTAAACTTTCAAATTTATTATTATTATTATATATATATATATATAATAAGATAAGAATTACTATAAGGGGAGTAAAATTCGGATTACCTTGTTGATCGAATATCTCAAGACAATAACATTGTTTGAGATTCGAATCACTCCACAAGCAAGATCGATCATGTCCAGCTTGAATGATTCTTGTTGATCAAATATCTCAAGACAAGAACACTTGATTGAGATTCGAATCACTCCACAAGCAAGATTGATCATGTCGAGCTAGAATGATTCTATATGCAACCTAAACTACATAAAATTGCAAAGAAACTTAATCATTGGCTAAACAAGAGCACAAATGTTTTTTCTACTACATTTTCCAAGTCTTCCTGCAAGTACAACATACATGGCTTTATATAGCCTCAAAATGAAACTAGTCGTAACATTCATACTTAATGGTCATAATTAACGATTACATACAACTTAAACTAAATTAAAAGTCTTAAAATACATTAATGAAATACAATAACTCTAAATTACTCTAAATTGTAATCCACCCAAAATTTATAACATGAAACTTCATTATTCATCAATGTGGCATGAATCTAAATATGTTTTGATAATTTCAACAATATTTTATTCACGTCTTCATTAAAGCATATTATATGATTGATGTCTCTTGGTTCATATCAATATATTTTCAAAAAGTCCTTAAAATTTTCAAATAAAAGTTTAAAATTTTGTTAATTCAATAACTATAATCGACCTTTGGTAAAAAAAAAAAAATAAATGACATTATATATATTGTTTTAGCTCATGAACCTTAGTAAAATAATTATTTTAGTTTATACCATTATTTTGTAATTTAAAGGTTGTTTAAAATATATATTTACGTGTTAAAAAAAATATCCATACTTTTTAAAATTACGTTATTACTCTTAACATTTCATAAGTTTTAAAATTAAATATCAGCACGCATAAAAAAATAAAAATAAATAAATAAAATATATATATAATCTACTCCACCCAACCTAATGAATTAAAAGATAAATAGATATATTAATGGTATACGAAAAAAATAATAATAAAAAGGGTCAAATCTTAAGGTTAAAATGTCGGGTTTAAAAACTCGTGGACCAAAATATAACAAAATTCAAACATTAGGAGCAAATGTGACCTAATTAATTAAATTAATTAATCCACATTAAATACATTAAGAAATTACGTGACCATTTTCAAATGTACACCTATTTATTTAAAAAAAAAAAGATAGTCAAACGAAGGGGTGAATGAGAATCTCGTACTTTATAACGGGTATAAATTGGAAAAAATAATAAATAAAATAAATAGTTGACTTCTCAATTAAGTAGATATATTGACCCCGAGTTAACAATGGGTATAAATTTCACAGCTTTGTCAACATCATTATCATGTTTGTCCAGGGCGTGTTGCTATAGTTGCATGTTCATGTCAGGCTAAACCCCTTTACTTGCTTCTCATGTTGTGTTACTTTATTATTATATATTTTTTTGTGTCAATGTCATACATGAATTGCCTCCACATGTACTACAGAGGATCGAGTAATTAGGAAACCTTCCCGAGCAAGAATTATAATCTCTCTTGCCTACAGTTTTTTAATACAATCGATTTTCACAACTCTTTCTACAAATTTGTTTTCAACGATTTTCCTTGCCCACGTTTTATAAATGCATTTTCTCTCAAAATGTGACTCGAGGCTCGACTTATACGTTTGATTTGTCCGTAAAATACAATTTTTACACGGTTGACTTGTTCATTGGATTAGAATAAGTGTCGCACAATCGCTATCCCGTTATAGAAAAAGTGCGATTGTTATACAAAAACACACGTGTTTTATTGAGTATTGAACCATTTTTCATGCTACGTCAGTCCCTTATGCTACATCATAGACTTATTTAATGCATTCAAATTATTTAATATAATTTTAAATAATTAACTAAATATTGGGTACAAAATTTAAAATAAACTAATGTGGAGTGTAAATAATATTTGTAAAAGTATATAAATAAATAAAATTAAATTCTATTATTTTTCTCTCTAAATTTTATTTAAAAAAAAAACGTTATTTTTCTCTCTCTAAAACCGTCCTTTGTCCCTTTCTCTGTGTTCAAAGTTTTAATAACTCTTTATTGTCAAAATATTTATTTCACTCTATTTTTTCCAAACTTTAATTTTTAATGTGCACACAATTAATAATATAAATGATATTGCATATATTTTATTTATTTATATTATTTAAAAACAAAAACTTCCAAGAAATTATAATTTAGAAAAATTTAAAAATTAAAAAATAAAAACGAAAATTTCATTGGGGGGACATAAACCTACCTACCATATAACAAAATAAATAATAAAAATAAATTGGGTTGGTTTGGTAGGAAACCCGACCCGAAATGAGGACTTATGGGTACGGGCAGTCGGTCAGGATAAACCCTAGGAAACTTCCACGTCACTTCCATGCTTTTGTTTTGGCAATTGCATTGTGTGAATGAGGAAAAATCCCATGCTTCCGCTCGCACCGTGTGGGGGTAGGTAGACAATCCTTGACCAATAGAATCAATGGCTCTGACTAGGCTTTCAGTTATAACCAATGATATCGCTCCACCTGGAAATGAACAGCTCGTGCTTATCACGTGAAATAACATTTATTTTCCGGGAAAAAACGATAAAATTTCAGACGAATTATTTATTTCCATCCACGAACTCGGCCATCTTTATCGCTGAGTGACCGTATAAATCTTCTACTCGCTCGTTTTCAAACGAGAAACGAGCTCATTCATTTCGATTTCGTCTCGATTTTGGTTTCTTTGCTGAAATCAAGAGAGAGTTGTAGACGCAACTTAACGAAAGCTATTCGATCATGGCGGAACCTTCAGTCACCATGGAGGTCGGAAATGATGGCGTTGCTGTGATCACCATGTCTAATCCTCCTGTAAACGCTCTAGCAAGATCCAGTGAGTCTGAGATATATATATATATATTTTTAATCTCTTTCTCTGTTTGTTAGTTCTTTCTTTTGCGTTTTGTTTTTGTTTATATTTATTTTTTGGATTTTGGATTTTTGTTTCTGGACATGCAGTGTTTCCTGCCTTGAAGTCGAAATTTGATGAGGCGATGAGGAGAAATGATGTGAAGGCTGTCGTTTTGACTGGTAAGAATCAATCTCCAGCTCAATGTTTTGAGCACATGCTGGTTACTTGAGCTGGTTGGAAATTACTTCAAGATTTTTTTTGTGATTGGTTTTGCTTAGATCAGGTAGTCTCCTCGTGATGCATCCGTACATTATGTTCGAATTATTTAGAACGAGCTGATGGATTAAATTAACCAAACACCAAACATTAAACTCGCTCGATGTAATTTCAATTAAATCCAATTTTGATTTAGCGGAGTCTGTACATAGACTTTTGACAAGATCCCCAGAACGGCAGGAAAGTGATGAGGAAAAGCGAATTCTTTATAAAAAGCTGAATTGCGTGTTAAGTTGTTCTACGTCAAGTTATTTCGAGTGTGTTTCATTTTGGGTCCTTTCTGTAATCGGGTCTTAGAATAAGCTTAATTTTTTGAACGCAAATGATTATCAAATGGGTTTTTAGTAATTATGTTTTCATATTTCAACTTTCCCCTCATCAAATCAGATATATAAATATATAGCTATGCATAATTTCCATGGTAACATAAATGATTACTTGTCGCCTATCTTTGTACATTACCAGTTTACTTCTTTGGCTTAATTATAGATAGCACAACACAACTAGCAATCACGTCTGAGGCTCTGCATATTGAGGAATTTTTCCTACATGAACTAATAACTTATATTCTTGTGTTTAGCATTTCAGGATTTCTGAAATTTGAGTAACTTCCTTGTTTTTGTGCTCCTATCTTATTTTGAACGTTTAATTTAATTTACTGAAGGCAAAGGAGGAAAGTTCTCTGGTGGGTTTGACATCAACGTTTTTGAAAAGATTCACAAGACTGGTGCGTTTATACTAATTCAAGTTAGGTATTTAAAGCTGGAGAAGTTTGTTCGAGAATTTAACTTTTCAAATTGCGTCTTCAATTGCAGGGGATGTGTCCCTCCTGCCTGATGTCTCTGTTGATATTGCAGTCAACACAATGGAAGGTTCTTCTCATGTCATTTTTTAGTGTTATCTCGCTTATTATCTGAAAGATTTTCATTGTTCAATGGAACTTGTTTGTTTATGAAAATGAAACTCCATAATTCAGTGTTGTTTTCCCATAAGTGCAGATGCCAAGAAGCCAATTGTTGCTGCCATCGAAGGACTTGCTTTGGGGGGAGGGTTAGAAATGGCTTTGGTTCGTACTTCATGTTGAGCATCGTCTCATTCCCTTTTTTCCCCCTCATTTTTGGATGCATCACATCATTCATCTTTATACAGGCAAGCCATGCGCGTATTGCTGTTCCTAAAGTTCAACTTGGTTTACCAGAGTTGACTCTTGGAGTAATTCCAGGATTTGGAGGTAAATTTTTATTTTGAACATATTCTTTAGTCTCAACTATGAGGAATGTAGCATTCGATTCCTTTTTTCCCCTCTCTCTTAAAAACAGTCACTGAGTTTCTGAGTACTGGTTGATTTATCAGGCACTCAAAGACTTCCCAGACTTGTAGGCCTATCAAAAGCTATTGAAATGATGCTGGTATGTTGAACATTCTCTTTTCTACTTTGGTTTTCATGACACAGTATTGGAATCTGTAATGGGTTGGGATAGACTAGGATACTGGATAGTTGCTATTGTTTGTTAGGACTAGCCCTACATAAAAACTCTTAGTAGACATAATTCATTAGATGCCATTTTATCTTAGACGTTAATTTGAAGGAAGTAAATTAGGGTCTTTAAGCCCTCACCCAGCACCTCAATCAACATACGTATCAAAAAAAGTGTTCTTGCCTCTATCATTAGCTCGGGTAGTCACTGTTTTTGGTGTTTCAGTCACCACATCTAACTTTTCTATAACTGGAGGGAAATAAGAAAATGTTTAATGATATGATTGGTTCCTCAACTATTTTGATGTATCTATTAAAGTAAAGATACCCAAAATTTTTCATTTTTCTATTTGGGAAAATATTCTTGGCCTCTATATTCTTATAAAAATAATTTGGTACCTATACTTTGTTAGGAAGTAGGCTTAAACTTCTCTTCAGATTGATTGTTACAGCATAGTGTGTGATTACTCTCTCTCTCTTTTTGCATTTTACGCAGTTATCTAAAACAATCACATCCGAAGAAGGAAAGAAGCTAGGTCTTATAGATGATGTTGTCAGTCCAAATGAGTTGATGAAGGTAGCTAGAAAGTGGGCTTTAGATATTGCTGATAGACGCAAACCATGGATTCGTACTCTTCATAGGACAGACAAAATTGGGTCCCTGGCTGAAGCTCGTGTGGCACTAAAATCTGCTAGAGAGCTGGCAAAAAAGATTGCACCAAACACACCACAGCACCTTGCGTGCATTGATGTTATTGAAGAGGGAATAATTCATGGAGGATATAGTGGAGTTCTAAAGGTACCTTTGTATTAGATTCTGCATACGTTGTCTTAAGGTGTATTTTCCTGTGTGCCAGGATCAACTTGGTTTCGTTGCACCAATTTTGATTTTTTGGTGGTGGTGTTGTTTTTTGTTTTAATTTTATTTTTGCTGAAATATCTGGTTTGTTACTCGGTGCTGGCAAGGTTACTAACTTAACAATGATTGTGGCAGGAGGAAAAAGTATTCAAGGAACTTGTAGCAACGGACACTGCCAAAGGTCTTGTTCACATCTTTTTTTCGCAGCGTTTAATATCAAAGGTACATTTTTTATTCAAGAAACTAAGACCCTCTATCTCCTTACGCAACCAAAAAAAGGAATCCACTATTTTTTACGCAACCAGTCAGTACCTAACTTTGTGTAACTGATAGTGTACCTCTGAACTTCTCAGGTACCAAATGTTACCGATCGTGGGCTTAAACCAAGACAAGTGAAGAAAGTTGCTGTTATCGGGGGTGGTTTAATGGGTTCCGGGATAGCAACAGCTCTTATTTTAAGCAACGTCCATGTTGTTCTTAAGGAAATCAATGCTGAATATCTTCAAAAGGGAATAAAAACTATTGAAGGTAGGATTTTTCATTAAACTAGTATTAGTTCAGCCTTAAGATTTTGTTTGTTATCTTTTTGGGTAACTAGCACCATTGCACATTTGTTTCGTTTTTGTGGAAGATACTATCTCTGGAGTACTTCCCCGTTTAATTGTTATAGTCCAATTTTCTAAATGCTTGCCAGGTCATAACAGAAGTTTGAGTTGAATTAGGTCCAACATCTGTCTAGGATGCTATACCCCAGTCAATCTTGTTAATGCTATTGATTATCTACTGTGAATTAGTTGGAAGATGAACATGAGTTTCTGCACTGTATCAATTCATGTTAATCAAAACTGTAAAATGCATGTTTGCCAATCATTATGTAATGTTTTAGGGATTTTGAACATAGTAATGTTATTTTCTGATTTGAAATTATTATATATAACAACAACGACGACAACAATCATAGTACACTTGGTCTTGAGTGTCTTTTGAACTATGAATTTGGCTTCCGCTTCAGTGACCAAACTTTTCAAAGAAATTCCTTTGATTTTAACTTTTCAAGCTAGGGATACTTATTGTATATAGCAGGTATTTTGATTTTGAGTCGGACATCTTTTCCTCCTTTTATGAAGTCACGATTATTTTTCTGAAGGACTATATATATGTATGCATGGATGTAATATATTTGTGGCTTGTAATCGTTAGCAGAAGATCTATTTCTTGACAGTCTAATGCTAGCCAGTAGGAAAGTTCCTTACAAAAGGAGTGTGCTATTGACAATTATAGATTACGGAACTAAGATTTTTGGATATGAATGCCTTAGACATTCAAACAGGATTGGGATTGAGTTTCACAATGTACATCTTGTAAGCTGATGACGATTTTACTTCAATCTTGAAAACGAAAATTGTAATGTATTTTAACTGTTTTCATTTTTATTTTATATTTCAATAGAAGCATTATTATTGTGCATCATTGAACGTTATTGTCCTTGGAATTATATCTGTTAATTATTTGACAGCAAATCTTCGAGGCTTAGTAGTGAAAGGCAAGCTGACAGAAGATAAGGCAGATAAAGCCTTTTGGATTCTTAAAGGTTCATTGGATTATTCAGACTTCAAAGATGTGGATATGGTGATTGAGGTGAATTCTTAATTTTTGTTTCTATTTTCTATTTTCAACAGCAATGTTTCCTAAATTACAATGACATTGGTTTGGTTGTGGTGACATCAGATTACTATTATTTATGACAATCTTTCTGGCTTCAATATTCATATATATTCTTTTTAATTTTAATGTTGTACTGACGGCAAGGACATATTCTCATTTTTGCAGGCGGTTGTTGAGAATGTTCCCCTTAAACAAAAGATATTTAGTGAAATTGAGGAAGTGTGCCCTCCTCACTGTATATTGGCATCCAATACCTCAACTATCGACCTCAATCTAATTGGAGAAAAAACCAGATCCTCAGATAGAATAATTGGAGCACATTTTTTCAGGTCATATTCCAATTTTGTTTTTGTTTTTTTTTTCTTTATGTTTGTTTGTTTGTTTGTTTGTTTTTTTAAAAAATTCAAGTTTACCGTTCCTTCCTGTCAATCCCTATGCAAGTCCAAGCCAACCAGCATCGAATCTCAAGGAACATTCTGAATCTCTTAAGTTCCATCAACCAGTGTGTGAGGAACGTTGTTTTCCATTTTTCTCTCAGAAAAAAAACACGAGAAAATAGAATGTTATGTGGACTGTAGAGTGAACTTCTCCTTTTTCCCTTTTCTGATTTGTAGTTTGCAGGAGTCAAAATTATTAATGTTCTAGTCTAATAATTCAAAGGATATAGCAGTTTCTTTCATGCACAAGTAACCGGAAGTAATAAGCATCATCCAGGATCAGGTTAAACATATGAACTGGAATCCAATGTTTACTGTGAAGTTCTCTTTGGTACTCAATCTACAGGGGCATCTAACAGTTATTTTCTTGTATTATATTGAGCTTATGGTGGAACGTGTATTGTGATTGTCTTTTAGAATTTCTTCTGTTCATAGAATTATTGCGAGTGTACAATAGGTGTTGAGATGCACGTCATATTTTCTAAGGATTAAGCATGATAATATTTTGAGTAACATTGGATGGATCTTAACTGCCTCATTGAAGAAAGAACAATGGAGGCCTTATTTGACCTCAAAGAGTTGTCTTTTTTCTTATGTGTATTAGTATTCCCAAGCCATGAGGTTACATGATGTTTTTATTTTCATTTTCGTAATATGCAGTCTCTTTTATGTAATTTCATTCACCCAATCCAAGTACTAATTGTTAGCAACTTTTGTTCACACCTTTCTACTATGGACAGCCCTGCTCACATTATGCCTCTCCTCGAAATTGTACGGACAGAAAAGACTTCCCCACAAGTGATTCTTGATCTTATGAATGTTGGAAAAATCATAAAGAAGGTTCCTGTTGTTGTGGGCAACCGCACTGGATTTGCAGTCAATCGTGCATTTTTCCCATATGCTCAGGCTGCACATTTTCTGATTAATTTAGGTGTCGACCCGTTCAGAATTGACCGGGTGATCACCAAATTTGGTCTTCCCTTGGGCCCTTTGCAGTAAGTCAATTCCTCAGTACTAGCATCTTTTCTCTTGTTATCTTTATTATAAACAATGTTGCTTGCCCATCTTTATATGAGAATTATTATTTATTTTCTATATTTGACCTCATGGCATACAAGATACTAGTCTCTTTCTTATTTCTTGAATCGTATCTTCATTTCACATTCAATTTTCTCCCTGGCCAGCACTGTTCAATGGTGGTTTTCTTTACCTCTCTCTCAAGATAATACAATTTTGATAGATATTTAGAAGGAATAGGTTGGGGTCAGTTCAATGCTTCATATGTATGTCAAAAATTGTTCATTAAATTACCCAGATTTTTTATTTTTTATTTTTTATAAAATCACAAAACCAGAATTAAGGCAGTCAGTGATGTACATATTTTATATACAACTATGCATGAGTAATGTAAGACTTGCTTAATCTCAAATCCTCTATCTACACCATCTTAATTGCTTCTTATGCATACAGGCTTCAGGATTTAAGCGGATATGGAGTGGCAACTGCAGTATGGAAAGAATTTTCAGCCGCATTTGCGGGTCGAGTTTTCTTCTCACCTTTGATTGACCTGATGAGGAAAAATGGACGCGACGGTACTGAAATTCTTGAGAATATCACCTTATTTTTGTGTGCCTATTTCTCCAAAATGAATTCGTGTTCAGAAATGTGAACTGCATATGCATTTTTATCGTGCAGGTAAAAACAATGGTCGGGGTTACTATATTTATGAGAAAGGAAGCAAACCAAAGCCTGATCCTTCAATTTTACCAATTGTGGAGGAGTCTAGGCGCATTACCAACATTATGCCGAGTGGAAAGGTACTTAAAAATGTGCAAGCAGACGCCATTTATATAAACGTGAACGCACAATCTGCATAAAATGACCATTATCTTCTAGTTGCTGTACTAAATCTTCTTGTTTGCTTCCGGCAGCCTATACCCGTTTCTGATCAGCAAATTTTGGAAATGGTACTCTTTCCTGTGGTCAATGAGGGATGTCGAGTGGTAGAAGAAGGAATCGTCGTTAGGCCGTCCGACCTTGATGTTGCGACTGTTCTTGGAATGAGCTTTCCTTCCTACCGGTATTAAAACTTCACTTGTTATCCTTTTTAGATTACTATAATCTGAGAATCTACTGGGTTGCCATTTTCATTTCTCTTGAAGAAAACAAAGTCGAGCATATACACATTAAAAATGGCAAAATAGAAGATAGCGAGCGAGATTAAGAAAAGAGTGACATCGACTTTTTTAATACGAAGATTTAAACCGAGATGCTTTAATTATGCATATATGGGTGAGTGATTATGCTCGTGGTTATTGGCTCCCTATCTTTTGCAGCGGTGGTCTCCTGTTTTGGGCGGATTTGGTGGGTCCTAAACATGTATATGCAAGTCTCAAGAAATGGTCAGAACAATATGGCGATTTCTTCAAGCCCTCTAAGTATCTAGAAGAAAGAGCAGCCAAAGGCATACCTTTGGTAAGATCTCTATTTTCTTCTCTCTTATTCACATTATTCTGTATGAATGCCATCACTCTTTCTCTCTCTCCCTCTCCCCTCCATGAATGGGCACATGACATTTTGGTCATTTACTTGCAGAGCGAAGCCGTTTCAGAAAATGCAGCGTCGAGATCCCGACTCTGAGCAAATAAGCTTCTTTCACCCAATCCTCCTGCAATAGCTTCCCTTTCTTAGACCTTGAAATCGCCCAAAATGCAAAAGCAACAAGAATTGGTTTGCTTGTATTTGTATTGTTATGAGTTCTTTTTCTTCTTTTTCTTGTTCTTTTTTTTGGTAGGTATTTTAGTTCAATAATGTGCGTCTGGGGATTTGGAAATGTACTCTTGGATTAAGTATGGCATTTAAATTTTGTATGTTGTTTAATAATTACTGGATAACAGATAATTATTTAATATTGGAGTAGATTAAAATTATTTTTAATTGTTGAGGGCTATGTTATAATATTAAAATTTAAAGTTTTAGAGATTATATCGATAATATGTATGTTTACTTATGAACTCGATCCCTTCAAAGTTTTAATGGGGAATTACTACTCTGATCCTTGTAAAAATAAATGTTTTATGAAGATGAGAAATAAAATAGATGGCGGAGATGGGGACGGAAAAGGCTTTCCCGTTCTCATTACATTTCTATTTGGTGGCGTAAAAAATTAACATTTCTCTTTGGTGGTGTAAAAAATTGTTAATTATATTGTGATATTGTTGTGAAAATAAAAAATATTCTAGTGTATATATTCAATATCTTTTTTTTTAACTAAATAAAAAATGATTTTATTTAATAATATTAAAAAAATGGTATGCTACATCTTGATTTGGTAATTCCAGCTTTTAAAGGATTAATTTTAAAGTTATTTAGTACCTAATTGTTAAGTTAATGACCAATAATAAATAAAAAATAATTTTTGCTAAAAAATAATAGCAAAGTAAATAGAATAAGATTCATCGCAACTTTGCTGTCAAGTCGTTATCTATTGTAATTAATCAATTTATATAAAATATCCTTCCAATAATTCAAATCCAAATGATAAAATAATAATAATAATAATAAAATAAGCTCATCAAAACTTTTAAAAAAATTACGATATTAAACATAAAATTTAAAGTCACATAAATAATAAGTCAATTAATTTTTAATTCTTTTATTTTTTATTTTTTTTTTTCATTAAAAAAAGTTAAATACCTATTTGTGAAGTCCCACTGGTTGGGGAGAACAAACCACCATTTACGGGTTTGGAAACCTTCTACTCCCAGACGCGTAAGGAGAACAAACCACAATTTATAAGGGTGTGGAAACTTTCTACTATCAGATGCGTTTTAAAGCCTTGAGGGGAAGCCCGAAAGGAAAAGCTCAAAGAGGACAATATCTGCTAGCGGTGGATCCCAGATATTGGACGATGTGCCAACCTTCTCGCTGTTCCCCGAAGGGGGTAGACACGAGACAGTGTGCCAGTAAGGACGCTGGGTCCTAAAGGGGGTGGATTTGGGGGCGGTCCCACATCGATTGGAGGAAGGAAAGAGTGTCGGCGAGAACGCTGGGTCCTGAAGGGAAGTGGATTGTGATGTCCCACATTAGTTGGGATGAGAACAAACCACCATTTATAAGAGTGTGGAAACCTTCTCCTAGCAGACACGTTTTAAAGCCTTGAGGGGAAGCCCAAAAGGAAAAACTCAAAGAGGACAATATCTGCTAGCGGTGGATGTTGGCATTACAGTATTAAACACTAATCGACAAAAACTTCAAAATTTAGGGACTTGCTTGTGATTTAAACAAATTTTTACCAAGATCTTGTCATTGTCAAGCAAGAAAAATCAAAACCATAAAGGAAGCTAGGCAACAGATATTAGCTTAGCTAGAATTGACCCAATAAGAAATAAGGCATGCAAGAATTTCCATGTAGAAATATGAAAAGAACCCCTTACCTTTCACCTCTCCCAAAAAAAGGAGGAAAAATAACTACAATTACAAAGCTAAGATGGGAAAGAACTCAATTCATATCTAAATGACAATATGAGCAACATGAGGCTTTGCATTTCACAGCATTATATGACCAAGAATGGAACTTTAAACATCAAAATTTAACTTACATCAACAGTGCAGAAATCCATGGAACGGTTTCGTCTAAATATATAGCTCCAACTCTGTAGGGTCAGCACAGTGTGGACAACCCGGAATGAGGGTCGGACCAGTTAATATCACATCGATGAATAATATAAGGCTACATTTTTTCTTTATGAACACTTCGGTCAGTCTTTGGTTTGATGTTTACCAGTTTCAAGACAGAGGCAAAACTTTCTGTCGCTGGTCGTTACTAAGGGTCATGACTGCTGTAGTTACCGTCTGCGACGTCTTCACCGACGGTGGAATCGAAGATTTTGTAACTTTATTGTTGAGTTGACCAATATTACTCTGAGTTTCAGTTCTAGAATTTGTGGCGCCATTGTTAAATTGTTGTTCTTGATTACCTACTTCGCTTCTGGCTAAAGATGAACATTGTGTCTCTGTAATGCACAAGGAAACATCACCACCATCAGTTTTGTGGAACAGAGAAGAAAAAACACAAGGAAATATTTGCATTCTGTAATACAATGAAATGAACAACTGATATTTATGGACAGAGACCAGAAAGTTAGAAATAAGATTGAAGCTACTAATATATCTCTCACAAAGCATGCAATCAAAATGGCAGGTTCAACCTTCAAAACGCACCGGATTACTCGAAAGACCTAGACGATAAAGAGTAATTCATATACTTGGAAGTAAATGCATTACGGAGCCCATAGGCAATTACCTTTTATTTCTCCCAAAGTGATGAGTCTATTAAGACAATCCCTAAGCTTTGTAAGGACGATCCTCTCCTGCTCTGCATAGACCTCTGACGTGTCTCGTCCGTGAGGCAGCTGTGAAGACGTGCTGCAGCCAGGACCCATTAATCTATTGGGGGAAGCAGTAGCCATTAGCATTGTATCTTGCTCATCGCACATCAAAGCTAAAGTTCCGGGAGACATGGGCGCGCCCTTTGGCACATCTCCACCATCTGAATTGGAATCGTCGGGGGTTGTTTTATCAGTCTGGTTTGCACTTGAACGATCATCGGCTGCAGCTTTCTCATCAGATGCATCTTTTTTCTGCAACCTATCTTGAGTGGATGATGCAGCAGAAGTTTCTGTCTGGGCATCAGATTGCTTTTCTGTGGCATTTGTTTGGTCTGGATAGTGAAAAAGAGGACGTTTTCAAAAGGTCCATTTTACAACTTTTGCTCAACTTCTTAAAAGACCGAACCAAAGTATTAGGAATTGAGTAAAAAAAAAAAAAAAATAGAGGTAGAGAGGAGTGAGAGGATAAAACCATAATAATACCTTGAAATGTCTTGGCAGCTTCACTCGACAGCACAACCAAAACCGAACAAAGATCCTTCAAATCTTGTGATTGAATGATGTCTGCCATTAAAGACCTTCAACAATTACACGAATATCAGTCCTAAGTCCAAGAATATGGCCAACAACATTATATTGAATCGAAGAGATTATACCTATATGTAAACTTTGAAGGACCCAACAATGATGGGGTTCCAACGCCAGCAATGGGGAAGGACGGTAGCGGAGGAGCAGCGACTCTGATATGATTTGCCTGCTAAGTACCGTCAACACCAGGATGATCAGTACAAGAGCAGTCCTATTAACACAGCTTCTTGTGAAAAGCAATATAAAGTTGTGTTTCTTTTGAATTAGTTTCTACCAAATTTCTACATAAAATGAGTGGGTTCACCTGTTGAAATGGCACTGGCCTATGAGCGGGTAGTTCCTTGGCTGTCAGTCCAAAGTAGAGTTCTTGGCCTTTTCTTTTCTTGGATACAGGAGGTGAAGCATAGCCAGAGGAGCCAATAGCTCCAGTTATGGCAGCATTGGCTGCTTGTTGAATGAATGCTATGTTGTTACCATGATCTCCATGGAAAAGAGCTTGTCTCTCTTCACTTCCCTCAAAATTCTTGCAGTCCATACATTTACAATTTTCGGAGCAGAGAATGTTCGCCTGGAAACACTCGCAATATTTCTTTAGACAACCTGACTTCTTGCAGTGGCATCCCTTATTGTGCTTACCCAACATCAGCAACTCCCCCGCCTCCTCCTGCATGAATTCAAAACAGTCCATTGTGCACATCATCAACAAGTTCCACAGATTATATGTATGCATATTTGATGTCATGCCACTCATTTATACTATGCTTGAATACTCATTGCAATACCACTTCATCTAATCTACGTATAAAACAAGAGGCACCGAAGATTTTAAATGGAAAAAAACGGGAGGGAATGTGCAAGCAAATGATATTCCGGCCTTTCACCCTTTTTTCGGGTTAGTGAATCCCCAAGGGATTGCACAAAAAATTTCAGAAAATTAATAATAAACTGCAAAATCTGCAACTTGTAATACAAGCTATGATACAAACAAAAGGTAGAGCTATGACACAAGCTATGATATGTATAAAAGGTAGAACAATTGTTATCAAACGACTTTCATACCCTGTTGTCCCGCATCCCATGAGGGCTGCTTGCAATTTTTGGTCGAAACGCATTTGGGTTACGCTCTAATGTAGCTTCAACTGCTTCTCTTCTAGCAGTATCATTTTCAACATTGTTATAACAATTTATGCAGTTGCAACCATCACAGTATATTCCAGAAGCAAAGCATTCACAGTACCTGCTCAAATTGGTGAGCAAATTACTCTTTGTTAATAAATAAAGATATTTGACAGCAATAACTTCCAAATGATTTATAAACACAATCATTTTATAATTCATTCCAGTTGTAAATTCGCACGTTGAGGAATTGATAAAACAAGGAGATAAGAAGCTGCAAAAAATAAATCATAAATCATAATATCTGCAATGGCCTTCACCAAAAGCCATAGTTTGCCTCTAAACCTCCAAAAGTTGCATATATGAAACATATAAGCAAACAATGAAGTAGATAATACAGCGGAATGAATTTCAAAACGCCAATTTTTTGTTCTTTTTTGGAAAAATATCTAAATGAGGAAACTGTTTGCAAGCACCAAAAGTCTTTTGTTTCCATACACAAGCATCTACTATATCAGTGTCATCATAGAAATTACTGAATAGAGAGCAGAAAAATGTAAAAAAGTGTTTGTCAGAAGCTCAAAGAATGATGAACTTACAATTTTAGACACCGCGAATGTTTACAGTTGCACTGTTTTTGCTTCTTAGGAGTACTGTCTTTAGCTTCAATGGCAGGTCTTGCTCTTGACATTGGTGATTCTGGTTTCCTATTTAAGAAAAAAGTACCCTCCCTTAATATTAACTGAATCATTTCTAATAACGGGCGCGAAAATTTAAGACGATGAACAGCAACATCAAGAGCCACAAATCTCTAT